TCAAGGCTGCGCGATCTCTCCATTAAGTTTCGTCAGGCCCGCGCTCGTCTTGGCCCACACGCACGTCTCTGGGCACGTCGTAGGCTCACGCCCCTTGAAGAGGGGCATGAGAGCGTGCTTGTGACCGAGTGTGACCCCACAGGAGGGCGTAGGAGCCGCAGGATCGAGGCGAAAGGTGAGAGCGGGCGGACGCACCGGGGTGGGCGAGGGGCGGCGATTGCGGGAAATAGCGTTGGTGTCGGAGCGAGCCTGGTCTGGGCCGCCGCGTGTGTGTGGTCCCGGGGCCCTGACAGTCCCACTCCTCGACCTGAGCACGGCTTTGTGTTGGTTGCCCTAGTCAGTACCCAACCAGCGACCACACGGGGACCTGCACCACCTCGCCTCCACATGACACCACTGGATATTTACCTCGAAAACGTCCGATAAGCAGGCATATTGAGCTCGGGGAGCGAGTGCATGCTACGCCCTGGCGGCTCCCCGACACTTCCTGGGTGGTCCGCTAGCATAGAGGCCGCAAGAGATGGAGTTTATATAATGCTGATGATATGCTGGCGGCGGCCTGGGATTGGTCATAAGCAGATTGGGTAGTGAAGTCCGCGGTGTCGACGTCTCAATTAGTGATGTCGACCAGCGCTCAGCATCATCCTATCGAGTGGGTGATTGAGCCATTGCTCGGCGGAGGTTGCGAGGGCGTCGGAGATGAGTGTCCCTACGAACGACGTGTCGACTTCTCCCAATTTGTCTTACAAGAAGGTGAACTGTCATGTGACGAGGAGGCGCGGGAGAGGCTGCCTCATCTCCCTTGTGTTGTGTGATGCTGATGCCGGGACCCCCGTACTCTTGCGCCCTTGCGGAATATGTGATCAATGAATGGAGTGGATCGAGTGCCGTCACTGTGCTAACTAACGAGTAAGTGCCGACGTGCAGTGTTTTCCCAGTGTAATACGAACAAGTATTGGTGATGAATACGTCTTCCTTACGCGCCTACGAGAAAGACGTAGCCGTTCGCAAATAGATCGAGGCAGACGGCGGGAGTCTAGTGCTCGCGACCTATACGTCCCCATAGTCGTGGCCGAGGAGGAAAAATAGAGGCTAACCTGCCGCAGCCGCCGCAGCCGCCGCAGTCATCGTCGCCACAAACGCACTAGCCATTCCTCCCTCTCGGCCTAACCTCCGAAACGCGGCCTACAAGCGGGCCTTTTGGATTCCACCGAACGGTTTCTCTCGTGGTTTCTTTTCTGGTGGTTTTTCCGTTTCGATCTTTCTCCCTTTTTTTTCTCTTCGTCCTGTCTTTTTTTTCTCTCTCTTTCTTCCCCGATTCCTTTAATTTGTCTGTCTGTTTATATACCTGTGCCTGAAACTATCGCACTATAATGATCTATCGCGTGTATGGAGCAGCGAGTTACAAAAGTACAAGTTCATTCCCTACCCGCTAATTCTCTGCTTCTACCTGTGTTACCTGTCCACCCCAAAATTCCCACTTTTCCTTACATAGGCCTATACGCTAGGTCCTCTCTCCTCCCTTCCTCCCTCTCTTTTGACCTGGTTTATTCCCTTCTATCCCTCTATTCTCTCATTTCTCTCATTTTTCCCCTTATATTCCGCTCTCTTCCATTTCTCCCCATCCTTCTTTCTCCTCTTATCACTGCCATCTCCAGCATCCTTCGCCTGTGAGCATCGTCGTTGTCTTCATCTCCGCACGTCTGTCCGAGATGCTGATCCGCAAACCTCGAATCTTCAAGCATCCTGGAAGAAAGAACAAGACAAACAAACTTCTGTTTTAAATGCCCTGGAAAAAAGAAAATTAGAAAATAGTAATAATAAAAATATATATATATTTTCAATCCACTATTGACGCACCGTTTTAAGGAAAGTGTTTTTTTTTTAAGTAGACAACCGAGATACAGTCTTATCCGCTGTGTCAACCTCCCTTCAACCCCTTACCCCCAACCCCCCCCGATACAACTCCCACTCCACCCCCCACCCCCTTTCGAGAGTGAGTGACGTCCCTTTGGCTCCTTCGGCGGGTCCTCCTCGGCGCTGAGGCCCGTCGGATCCCACTTCTCGAGGCCCGTGTGTGTGTTCCTTGAGGAGGAGTGCCAAGTGTCAGGAAAGTGGTAGGGAGTCGGGGAGTGCCGTGGCGCGTTTGCTTATTGGCGGTGACAAGTTTATCTGTGTCTTCCGTCGCTTCTGCTGCGGTAAGTCCTGTCAATACTTACATGTGTGGTTTGCGTGTACACATGCCTGTTATTACGTATGTTTATGTATATGTGTGTATTTATATATTTTTTCATCTACTCAGTCATTTATTTATTTGTGTTTTGATTCATCCATTTAATTAATAATATCTTTATTTATGTATATATTAATTTTATATATATTTATATGGATCCATGTACATGCGTATTTATATTACTGGATATATATTTGGATGTATTAACAATGGTAATTAATTTTTGATTATTTAAAAATCTTCGGGACATCTTTCTGTTTCTGATAT